GTCCGGATCGATGCGTGGAGTGGGTACGTCCCCCACGCCGCGGCCCGACCATGCAAACGCAGGCACTCCCTTTCTCCCATCTATCCACGTCCTTGTAATTTCGTGTTCTTCGCGCATGCATACACGCTATAAATTCCGGCTACGCGATTAACTAGTGCTGGAAGCTCGGGGTTGCACGACGACGGATTGTCGGCACACAAGCGAAGTAAGAGGTGAGTGAAGTGGGAGTCGGGCGACCCGACGAGCTGGTGCCGAATACGCGGGGTTGACGCGGGTCACGACGGACTGTGGGCGCGGAGCGAACCTGACGGCAGTGACGGGCGCAGGAGGACTAAGCGGGGTGACGACTTCGTGGGTTGGTGCGCAACGACGGACTGTCGGCATCGAAGAGTGAGAGAGAAAGAGAGTTGAGGTTGAGTTGGGCATGGATTTGCATCTTTCTTTTTCGTTCCTTTTTCATCTGTGTATATAAATTTTGGTGACGATTACGGGCGACTCGCCCTTGACTTTTGCGGCCCTCTTCGTCTTTTGTTTCGACTTGGTTTTCCTCAATGTTTTCCACTTCAATTTCTTTCTCGGACTTCCTTTTCGCGAAATGATGTATGGATAACCCGCGCACATCTTGCACTTTGTTTTTGATTGACTTCCCGGACTTATGAAATCGGATGGGAATGGAGATGGCATGTTGGCATGATCAATTGGATGTTTGTCGTCTCATAATGATCGTCTGACAAGCATGACCTGACGTATCGTATGCACGCATGTAAGCACGATCCGAACGGAGTGCGGCTTACACGCGTACGGACCACCCGGACCCATAATTTGTGTCCTATCTGTCGCACGAGGTTAGCCCTTCGCCAGGCCGGGAGTTGATATCCACAGGATCGGGTTAACCATCGCCCGCAAGTGCGCGTAAGTGCGACTCATTCGCGTCTTTCTTACGCACTTGCGAACGGTGATTTCCTCGAATAGCTTGTCCCCTAGGGTGTGTAGGATGAAAGAATGACGAGCTCGCGAAGCTCCGACGTATCTTGGAATTCCGAGGATTTCGACGCGTATTTTGGATATCGGGAACTCTGGGAAGAAGAACAACGTCGGTTACGAGGAAATCTGAGCAACCCGAAATTCCCTTGTCTTGCAGAACGCGATAGGGTATGCGCCAGGGAATTCCATCTCGCCGTAAGAAGCGATCCCCAGGGACCAGATTACCCAAACACTTATAACACGCAATATTTTATATCCCCCGGTTTCGTCATTGTCGCTCTTAATTTTCCGCCTTATCATCTTCTTCTCCCCTATCATCAGCTCACAGTGGTACCGTGGAATCCCATAGCCCCCTACTGGCCGCGAACTCCGTGTAGGAATTGCAGCCGGCACCATAATTTTCGAAATCCCAGAGCCGCGGAGCCGAGACATACCTCGCACCGGCAGGCGACACGTGGCGGAACCCGAAGGCCCAGGCCCCCACGACCACTCCGCCCGACTTCCCCGAACCGACGATCTCGTCAGGATCGGACGGCCCCGCACCACCAACGTGCCAGCCCGCGCCCGTAAATTTTCCCATTGCTCTATTGCATCTATGCCCCTTAACCTTGCCACAGGAGATCTCAGTTCTGACCTGGGACTCCACCCCCACTTTCCAAAAATCCTTGGCACACCCCTTTTCGCACTTCCAGGCCCACACCCTACTCCGATCAGGAAGTCGCGCTTGAGCATCACACCGGTCACCCGGGCGTGACGCCCGGGGGGTCTGATGCCCGGGTGACCCAGTCATGGCAAAAAAAAAAAAAAAAAAAAAAAGGTGGTGAGATTTTCATGACCGGACGGTCACCCAGGCGTGATGCCTGGGGGGGTCTGGCGCCCGGGATACCTGGGCATAAGGAAAAAAAAAAAAAAAAAAAAAAAGGTGGTGGGGTGTTTCCGCGCTCTCCGAGAGGAGCCCAAATCCGGGCTCTTTTCGTTTTTTGAGTGTTGGCTGTCAAGGGGGGAAAGGGGAGAGTAAATGAATTTTAAAGGGGCTAAAGGGGTTTAAAGGAGGTGCCATAGTGTGATATGGTTATTTTCTTTTTTAGTTTCAGTTCTGTGAGAAATTCGGATGTTACCCTCAGCCGAAAGTTGTTTGTATTGCAATTCTACACAACATAATGTTTTTTCAGATTTTTTTTTTTTTTGTTTGTTTGTTTGCACTGGGGCTGTCCGGGGCCATGCCCGGGGGTCATGCCCGGCCGGTCACCCAATCGCCAATCCGGGCGTGACATCGGGACCCGGGCGCCCGGGATATCTCCCTAGGCAAAAAGTATGCAATTTGGAAAAAACAGATATGAGGTTGTAGGGTTGGAAAAACCCTACAACCCCATATTTTTTCTTTTTTTTTTACATTTTATTTCGTCGGGGAAAGGTCCCTAAAAACTGTGGCCGTGACGTCAGGCCCACCGTCTGCAGCCGCAGCCATAAACATGGCCGCCCACCAAGTTTGACCCCGCGGCCGCGGCTGTGGGTGATACATAGGCGGGGGCTGCTCCCGACCCGCAGGTGGGCGATACCGGCCAAGGGACAGCCGGTAGCATGAAAGAATTTGGAAGACGATGAAAGATTTTAGAGAAGAATATAGCGTAGTTCAAAAAAACACAAAAAAAATCAGCGCCCTGCGTGGTTCGAACGGGCGCCACAGGGCGTCGCTGCACTACTCTCCAAATGTGCAAAATGAGACTGAATCCACCGCTAGAACATGAAAAGATGCATTCCCATCTTGGCATCTTTTTTGTCGTTTGCGCATGTGGAGAGGAGTGTAGCAAGGCCTCCGGGCCAAACAAAGGAAAAACGAAAAATCAGCAAGTGAAAGGGCTCCCTGCCCTGTTTGAATGCCGGGCAGTGCAGCGAGGCCCGTAGGCCACACAGGTTGGGACGGGCGACACACGGCATCGCTGCACTACTCTCCAAATGTGCAAAATGGGACTGAATTCGCCGATAGAACATGGAAATACACGTTGCCACAGGCCACAGAAACGCGAGGGGAAAAAAAAAAAAAAAAAAAAACACCTGCAAAATGGGAGATACATTGCCATCTTTTTTGTCTTTTGCGCATGTGGAGAGCAGTGCAGCTAGGCCTGTAGGCCACACAGGTTGGGACGGGCGCCACACGGCATTGCTGCACTACTCTCCAAATGTGCAAAATGGGACTGAATTCGCTGATAGAACATGGAAATACACGTTGCCACAGGCCACAGAAATGCGGAGAAAAAAAAGAAAAAAAGAAAAAAAAAAAAACCTGCACCTGTGACTGCTGCAGAGTTCCAATTCGCAAAAACAACAGTCCACTGCAAGATTGGGCTAAGAGAAGTTAGAAACTGCAAGAAAAACAGTGAACTGCGCGTTAGACGGCCTACCGGTTCGATAATTGGCAGAAACGGGAGGAAGCCTGGGCCCGTGGTACCGCATGGCCTGGCCTGGCCTGGGAGAAGGTACCGGTAGCAGATCCTCCTGTTTTTGGTTCTGGCGGGACTTGTTCGGGCGGGTAGCGGTGGCCACCGTTTTCGAAATAATCAGACGACTGAACCGAGTGATGGTGTGCTATCTCTCTCTCTCTCTCAAGCCACCAGGTAGGTACAACTCCACTCCCTCTCGTCCAGGCTTCTTCTCCTTTCTTTCCCCTTCATCTTTCCCTGTCTCCTCCCTCCTTGTCACTTTTCCC